CTCAAACGAAGCCTAAAACTCCTAAGTTAAATCACATCAAACAAAGTTGCACAATGCAAAGGCCCTACTTAAAAAATCCTCAATTAATTATGCTAGCACAAACAAACATCAAAGATCAAAAGCTATACAAGATCAAGGTTTCATTTGTGATTGCTTTAGATTATTATTTTTTTCCTGATTCTAAAACAAAATTCTAATAAAAAGTAGCTTTACGAAGTAGTAGGAAAGTCGTCCAAAACCATGACTAACTATGACCTAGCGCACGAAAAAATTGCCCAAATTCAAATCAAATCAGTTACTATCATTACAAAGATTAGACCTATATTTGAAATTTCCAAATTATAATTTTCTCTTAATTTATTAATCAGGATATCAAATAAATTCATACACCTTAATAAAATATAAGCTAATTTAATTTATCCTGAACAATAAATAAAAATAGTTAGTCAAATTTTGGTATTAAAAGAACAAACAATTAGAATTAGGTAAATCTATATTTTGAATGTTTAACGAGGAGAAATGGAAGAAGACAAACGTTTAGGAAGATAGATACATGAAGGAAACAGAATAATCACTCACTAATTCTTATTTCTTCAAGAAAGAAGAAGACGAGGAGGGAAGCGAATGTCTCACAATCAAAGAGGAAGAAGTCAATGAGGATGGGCTTGCTGCAGGTAGCTTTCAGTTTGCATGTATTCGATCAATGGGGAAGGAGATAAGGTGACTTTAACGGTTTGGAGGAGGAAGAATGGAGGAGAAAGTGTGTGCGCCCAACCTTGTTGAGATCTATTAGTATGGAGAGAGGTAGCTATTGCTGCAAACGAGCCAAACCTAGCCTGAGTATCGGAGTATGTACGTGTTCATGTTTGAGTTCGTTTATATTCTTATAAGTTTGTTCAAGTTCGGTTCGAGTTTGATTCGAGCTTTTGTGTTTGTATTTGATTTTGGTTTATTTAAATTAATAGGTGTTCATGTTTGATTTATGTTCAGTTTATTTCATGCTTATCGAGCTTTAAATAAACGAGGTTTGTCGAGCTATAAACGAGCTTTACTTCTAGATGTACATTAACTTAACAAATGAGCCCTGTCGAGTCTTCAAACAAATAATTACATCGAGCATGTTCTTGATTATATTAGCAAAGTTTTTTAAACTACCAAACAAGCTCGTTCTCGAACATATCTATTGAGTATTCTTGAGCTATCAAATGAGCCCGTTCATGAACATATCTAATTAGTGTTTTCGAGCTACCAAATAAGCTCATTCATGAATAAACAATCTATGATTCATCTTATATTTATTCAGAGAGTGGATTATGCACTATTTTAAATGGATACGGAAAATTAAAAAAAATACTAAATAATTCTAATATAGTTCTAGTTGACCTCTTAGTCAAGCTTTAATTGAACTTCTTAACGAACTTGTTCACGAGTATTAAACGATAGTGTTCAGGAACATATATGAACCGAATGCCAAGTTGTTCAAGCTCATTTATTTAGCTCTCGAATATATATCCAAAGTGTTCAAGCTCGTTCGTTTACCTTATCAAACGAACATGAACAAGCTCTTATCGAGTTGAGCCACGAGAAGCTCGTCAAATTCGGTTCATTTGCAGCCCTAAAGACAGCTATTAGAAGGATAAGCGGTGTCTCCCTTGCTTTCTTTTTCTAAAAATCATGACTTGATCCCAGTGACTCAGTGAGGCTGAGCAGGATGCTGTGCACGATCAGGATTCTCATGATTGTGAAGGAGAAGGTAAGTAGAAGAGTTATGCAACTTGATATATTTCTATTTTTAAAGGGGGGGGGGAGAGAGAGAGAGAGAGAGAGAGAGAGAGAGAGAGAGAGAGAGAGAGCTCTGTGCTAAATATTTAGGGTGTGAAGAGGTCTAGCAGCACAGCAGATCCATTTGGAAGGAAATATCATTATGCTAACTGCTTGGAGGTGATGAGTTTGTGGGGACAAATAGTTAAAAGCATATTTATCAAGGCAGAAGACTTCTCAACGAAGAAGACTTGCAGGTCTTTTAAAAGGATTATTATTTGATGAGCATAGTTTATTATTATTATTATTATTTGTTTAATATTTATATATTTCCTTGCATTATTGTATAGTGAGAGGAAATTATTACAATATTATTGCAGTCTGATTAGACATGTAAGTCCATAATCATGAGATTACTTTTGACAAAATTTGCTAAAATTAAACAAGCTAAGGAAATATGAGGAAAGAAACAAAAGTGGAGCATGACTTGAACATATATAATTATATTTGCATTATTTAGATGAGCTAATTATATATGTTTTTCAATTGAAGTATATTGTATTTTCTTTCAATTTTTATATTAAGGTTTACATCTACTTCTTGAGTTCTTATTTAAAGATTTTCACTCTCTTTTTCACATTCTAGGTAGAAAATCCTCTTGTACAAACACATTTTTGACAAGAAATAGAATAAATCAAATGTTTTTAGAGGAACTACAGTTTCATTTGGGACAACTTTCTTACGATTTTTAAAAATAATTTTTTAATACAACTTAAAAATAGTTATATTAAAAACTGCTTTAAAAACAGTGATAAAACTATCCCAAATGAAATTTAAAAGAGCACTTGCGATCCAAAAAGCTCCTTTGCAAGAAATATCACAAAGCTTTCACAAATTGAATTCTTAAATTGAAGAAAGGAGGTTTTGATAAAGAGAGGAGAATGAGTTGTGTAGATGATCATTTGGCTTATTAATACAAAGATCTTCTTCCCATGAATTACCAACAATATTAATGCACCAATCTTCTTATTTTTAAGTGAAACCAGTAAAATGGAAGCTCATTTTCATCAATTAGTCATTATCATTATCATAAGAGCCACATAATAGATATATCAGAGAATAGATTTCAAATAATTGTACTATCTGATTGATATTGGCATATTAATTATATGTATTGTATGATTAATTTACTTTTAAAAAAATTAAAAATGAAGATCAATTCAACATATTACATAATCCACAAATAAATCTAATTAATTAACATGATTTCATTATAATTGTTGCGGGCTAGAATATACGCGGCGATAGAGTTGTAATTCTACGTCTTAGTGTTGCACGGATATCCAGCTCACATACAGATAACACAAGATTTTTTATGTGGAAAACCCTTAAAAGGGAAAAACCACCGGGGCCTAGTCCAGTTGAAAAGATTTCACTAGAACTTGAGTTGAGTACAGTAGGCTCACTCGTCCATGAGGGCAATCAGATTACAAATGTCAACCGTATGCTTGAAGTCTAGTGTTAAATCTGGCGTCACTTGGAAGTTGGGGTGTCAGTTAATGGTCTGGCGGAGTTTTAGGGCCTCCAGTGGTGGTTTGGCGAAGTTTAGGCCCTTAGGCGGTGGTTCGGCGAGGGTGTGGGCCTCAGGTGGTGGTCCGACAAAGGTGAGGGCCTCAGGAGGTGATCCGGCAAGAGTGAGGGCCTCAGGTGGTGGTCCGACGAAGGTGAGGGCCTCAAGCGGTGGTCCGGAGAGGGATCTCAAGCGGTGGTCCGGCAAAGGTGAGGGCTTCAGGTGTTGGTCCAGCAAAGCAATGATGACAGACAATGGTTTGACGGAACTCAGGCGGTGGTCGAGGCGAAGCTTCTTCCTTCTCTTCTCTTCTTCTCTTCTGAAGTGGCATGACCCGTAAATAGGTGAGAGATCAAGGGTAAATGGGAAGTGGTTGGATGGATGGCCGATACTGAATCCCTTGATCATGGACCGTTTGATGGACATTTGAATGTCTTAGTGATATTGGATGGTGATCTTAGGCTCGTTGGATTCATCTCGTCGAGCCGCTTGATTCAACTATAAGCATGTTATGTTTGGAAACCATTTGGTAATCCAAATTGTGGTTTGAACCTTCCAACAACATTTCTAACCCTTAATTTGGACCCGTTTGGAATCGGATTGGGTTGAATTTAGTGTAGTTGGTTTCATTTTCTCGAGACGCTTAGTTCGACTATAAGTTTGCTGAAATCGGAGTTCAGATGATCCCAATTTTAATTTCGAAAGTTTCCAACTTAATTTTGCATCGAGATTCGTGCCTAATCAAAATAATTTTTTGATGACATATCAATAAATAACTGATTAATAGTTATAATTCAATCTTACATATTCCACATCATAGCAAACACAAAATTTTGATGCACAAATTTTAAAATTTGTTTTAAATATTTATAATTAAATTACTATATATATATCATTTTTACTCATTCAATTAACAAGCTCATCATAATATTTTTATAATAATAAAATAGTAAATAAAATTAAAAATAATTTCTAAAGCTCAAGTGCACACACATTTATCTTTCCTGCAATGAATCACCCTCTAAAACATAAAAAATTATTATGTGGGCTACATTCAGAGACCAACCAGAATCGGCATCCGGAGACCAACTAGAACATGTCACGTGACTTTTTTGCTCGCTCGGTACTGGGTGACGTAGCATGTTCTAATTGGTCTCAAAACCGTCTGGTATCCGCACATAATTTCTCCTAAAACATGAATTCATCAGTGCAACATCCACTTCAGACTTCAGTAAACTTACATGCACTTTCATGCAAAACTCTACAACATTGACTCTCTTTAGAAACAAAATTTCTACATCAATGCCCGCAAGATCTAATAAACTATGGGATTCACAACACCCTCTCTCTCTGCTCTAATTAAAAGCTAAAAAAGAAAAGAAATGAAAAACAAAAGGGATGATGATGATGATAACTCACATGGGCTGCTTTGCCCTCACTGCAACAATGATGCTCTTCACCACACTGAGGCATTGGGCCATTTGGTCAATAAAGCTCAGAAGACCTGAAACAATGCACAATTTCCCACTTGAAGCTGAGCTGTTTACCCACTTTTCTCACTTAGATGGTCTCATATAAAGAACACTCGGCAAAAGAATATGTCACTAACTTAGAATCCAAGAAGGAATTAAAGATCAGAGAGAGAGAGAGAGAGAGAGAGAGAGAGAGAGAGAAGAAGACCACAGAAGCATTCAATAGAACACAAATCTTTTACAAAAGTCAGGAATTCACCAACTTAAAATAGAAATCACACTAAAACCAAATACGAATTGCGCAGAAAGAGGAAACAAAAGACTTCTAAAACAGTCATGTAGTAGTGGTGGCTATCTTCCCACACTTCGGCGATAGAAATTAGCATAAGTAGTTAAGATATACAGAGGACACCTTCACACCCCTGCTTTTAAACTCTGCTAATCTGTAGAGATTAGCAGTTAGTGAGTTCATTTGAAAGTACTAAAAAGAATAGAAACGGCTAATAAGTATAAACAACGTTACATTTCCACTTTCCAAACAACATTGCTCACCCCTGCATCTTGAGATCTCTCTAAAGCTGCGACCTTTGCTCTGTGATTTCCGGCAATGCTGCTGTTGCTCCTCCCCCTCTCTCCGTGCGGCAGCTCGTTGGCTTCGCTGATTAACCCGCACCGTATATCAGCTGGGGGAATGAAGCAATCTAATGAAAGGCCAGGCACATTGAAAGCAACTTCTTCAATTGTCCATGCTTCTTCCATTCTGGTCTTTGTGTGGCTCATTGCTTCCTCTCCGAAGCGGAAGAGGGTGACAACAGAGCGGCCGGAGTGAGCTATCATGATTCCTTCGACAGGGCGGTAGTCGTCCATGAAGGAGTTTATGGTGGTTTCCCAGTAGACAGTGTCGCCGCCCGTGGCGGTTGATTGAATTCGAGTTAAGTGGGAATCCTCCATGTGAGCTAAAAGCCCTGTTTTTTGGCTGAAGTAGCCGAAAAGAACGTGCCGTATGATCTCCGCTGTTCCCTCGCTCCTCGCTTTCAGAGTCTGCGGGTCAGCAGAAAGCTTGAGAATGAAGCAATCTTCTCCGTTGATCTTCTTCTCGCCAATGCAGCGTGCATTGGCAAACATGCTCGCCGTGGACAGCGGATCAAGGCCCTGCGAAAACAAAAATTTCAGTTTTGTTTACGGAAATCATGAAAAGGCAGCAACTTCTCGAAACGATGGGATGAAAATAAGTCGGTCTGTACCTGGAGAGAGCGGCGAAGTGGCCGAACGGGGCCTTTTGCCGCGTGGGCGCCAAGCCAAGGAGTGTGACGCCACACCAGTTTTCCGTTGGAGCCGGCGTGCACCTTGCTCCCGCCGACGGCGAGCTCAACGTACCACATATCCGGGGCCATTTTCCACAGCACAAAGCCGCCGGACTCCACCGGCGAGCCACGGTTCTTCGTTACCCTTTTCGCCGTTTCATACTCCGCTGCCACCATCCTTAGCTTCCCCATCGCATACGCGTTGCGGATGGAACTCTGCAGCTTAAGCCCACCGGATGCCGCCATGTACTGCTGAAGAATGTACTGCGCCGACGAACTCTCCTACAGAATTAACACATTCTCTCCTTTTAAATCATATTTTTTAAACGAATGGTTGCATGCTTTGAAGGATCAAAGGCGAAGAAGTTTACTATTGGGGTGTCCTTGATGCTGAGATGAGGAAAAGGGTCGAGAGAGCTGACGTGGATTGGAACCAAGGGAGCGCCCATGACACCAAGGAGAAGGCGGAGGTCGGAGCGACGATAACCACTTCCTCCGCCACCGGCAGCGGCTGAGGAAACAGAGGGCGTGCGAGAAAGCTGACCACGAACCCATTGACCCCATCCCTCTTTCTTCGAGTCGCCAGAGGCGCCAGCGATGTCGTCAGCAGCATCATAAGGGTCAGGCCCCTCTATTAGCGGCGCGAGAGTCTCACCGACCGGTCGGAAGCTACCGGATCTACCTATGAGCGGCTCCGGGAAGTTGGAAACAGAATGATTGCTCTGTTGGCTCTTTCTCCGGCGAGGAAGTAAAAGACCGACCATCGGCGAAATGCTTCTAGCTGGACTCTCGGACCGTGACCGTGACCTCGACCTCGATTTCCCCGGTGAAAGACCTCTCACTACCTCCTCCTTCAAAGCTGAGAAGAAGCCCTGTTTCTTCTCCATTTTTCTCAGAAAGAAAACCCAGTAAGCGTAATGAGAGAAAAGTAAAAGACTAGTAGGTGCGCACCAAGAAAATGCTAACAGAGTAGCGGAGAAGTGTTGAGAAAAGACATAATGGTTAGATCTGGCAAACAAAATTATAGCTTTTGCTTGAAATTTTCAAGAAAGGAAGACAATTATAAAACAGAGGAGAAAGAGATGAAGCAGAATGTGATTGGGAACTGGATTGTCAAGAAAGAAGAACGATGAGGAGAACAATAAGAAGGTGAAGAACAGAAGTAGTAGAGAGAGAAGTAAAGAGCTGTTAGCGACAGATCACTTCTTGCCGGTGTGAACTGGGAAGTAGGATTCGAGAAGAAAACAAGTGTGAAGATAGCCGTTTGAGGTGATTTGTGTTACAGTTGCTAATAAAAGACAACCTTAAGGTTAAAAACGGAAAAATAAAAATAATAGACGGAAAGGAAACGACAAAAGGCCTCGCCGTCGTTAAAGTTAACGCTACGGGGCGGTCCAATTACCTCCTCTGCTCGTAAGCTGACCTACCGAGAAATTGTCTAAAGTGACGGTGTGTTAAAGAGATGTTCCCGTCACCGCTTTTGAGGTGGGGCTTAGGATTCGTCTGCCCTACGCCTAACGGCACCGTTACAGTGCATCGCTCCGACCTTGACTGCACGGAAAAGAGACGGGGGCGTGACGTACCGTCTGTGTCCGTCAAGTAATTTCCTTAATTTCGTAATATTAAGTGAACAATAATAACAACAACATCAAATTTTTATCCAATTAAATAGGACTGCTACATGAATTGTTTTTTTTTTTTTTTGATATTAGGGGATTCTAAAAATATTAGGGGATTCGAACATAAGCGCATGAGAGGAAAAGCTTCACTCAACCAGTAAGCTGCACGCACAATCTCATGAATTTTTTTCTCTAGTGTCTTCTTAAGTTTTCGTTTGAGACAACTTTTTTGTTGCTTTCTAAAATGGGTTCTAAGTACAAAATTTTGAATTAGAAAAATTTATACTATAAAGATGTTTCAAGAAGCTGCACGAAAGTTGTACCAAACAAAGCCTAAGTGCAACTCCAATAGAAAAACTTATTTTCTACTCTAAATACACTAACTCATATCCAATCGAACTTCATTTTATAACATAAAAAAAAATCTAGTCACATCCCGAGAAATGCTCAGTTCTACGCATTCGGTTGGAGCAGCCGGCCAACGGCAAACACTGGTTGGTAATGGCCTAAGGGTCAAAACCTTATTTAAATCTATAAAAAGCAATAATTTTTTTTTTAATTTCAAAGCAATTCTTTTTAGGTCTTTTTTCATCTATTTTAATTCTTAATCGAATCATCAAAAGGCTGATACTTTTTACGACCAAACGAACCATCTAAGATAATTCTCTCTAATCTTATAAGCAAGTAGAGTTACTCAAACATTTTCATGTATATATACAAATTTCATATTTTGTCTCTAAGTGTAAAACTGCTCATCCACCTAAACATCTTCATCTTTGCAACAATTAACTTAGGCTTCATTTATGACAGCTTTATTACTGTTTCTTAAATCAACTTTTTAGTTCAAAAATTAAAATTTTTGCACTAAAAAACTGCTTTAAAAAATAGCAAGAAAGTCGTCCCAAAGGAAGCCTTAATTTTATGCCTCTATTTTAATGGACAATAATTTCAGCCACAAAATATTGCAGGCATCCTATTTTGAGGGTACTTTTCGATTCATAATTTAATAATAAAAATGGTTATTCAAAAAATATTAAATTGTTATGTATTAAATAAATGTACCCAAAATAATAATAATTTAGTCCTCATATGTGAATTTATTAAAAGAAAAAGCAGATAAGCAGGCAAAAATTTCGATCTGATTTCGATTATGCTCTCGACTAATAAGAGATCAAGCCCGAGAGTATCTGATTGGACGGTCTTGATGCATCATCGAGCATGAAGATCGAGGGGGAGGGGATGGTTGAGATCAAATTTGGCGCAACTTTCGGGACAATCGGACGGTCAATAACGATTTTGGAGATGGTGATCGCATAAGCTGTGCAGTGGGGGCCGCTTGTACATGCTGTAGTATTGGCCAAAGTCTTAGAATAAACGCGTGCATAGCTGTTTTTATTTGGAGAAAATATAAGAGAAAAGAAATATGAAGGAAAAACTTTCTCCTTTCAATCACTACAAAGAATACAGTGGGGTTTAGTTTGAGATAATTTTTTTACTTCTTCTTAAAGACGTTTTTAATATGATCATCCTTATTCATCCATCGCGGTCATATTATAAGCACTTGTATTTATATTTTTTTTGTTAAAATCTGCACAAGGGCCTACGCATTCCATAAAAAAAGGAATTACAAGTCCTTAATGGATCAGAAGCTCTTTAAAAGAATAATATTTGAAATGAAACCTATTGAGCATGAGATCCGATCGATTACAATAAGGAAAACATAAAGAAAGCTAGATAATATAACCCAAAAAATAGGCAAAACTGCAGACAGACGATTAACAACAGTCTTCAACAGTGCCAGGAAGACGAATCTGCAATAAGCCAAAATGCACCAAAACAAGGAAGAAACAACCTGCAAAAAGAATATTGCTAGATAGGGCTTGAAGAATCTCAAGCATTTTGCCATTAGCTCGATCTATATAAAACCCAAATAAATCATTGAGCATATCAGGGTGAAATTTAATATCATAATTTTTTATATAAACGCTTGGGATGTCAAATAAAAAACTTGTATGTCTAAACATCGAAAATTTAGGCGAAATCATATTACTCTTTTATGAAAGTTGTGAGTTGTAATAGTTTTCATGATTATATATAATAAGTGAATATGTTACACCATTTTAGAGTTGGTTTTGGGCATTTGGGTCATGCATAATTGGAGGGACTTTTCTTTTCATCACATCTTTAATATGAAAGAGGCATAACTAAATTTATTGCATTGACTTGTGATACAAAATTATGGCAACCAATGCTTCAAAATATTTTATAGAGCCTACTTTTATTAAGATGCAAAAGTATATAACATATATTTACATATCGGGAGTATCTTCTGTGCGTTCAATAGTTCATAAGCTTATTATATGTCACGTCAACATGCGATTTCTACACTTGGGATGAGACGTCTGAACAAGCCAACCTAGCTAGGTTTACATCTTATATCAAGATATAAAGTAATTAAAAGCTCGAATGTCATCTTAAAATTAATCACTTTTAACTCAAAATTAATTAAACTTGGCTAGCTCTAACTAAAAAAAAAAAATTAATAAAATGAATTGATCACACCTCCCTACAAACTACATACCTAACAAATAATGAACCATTATTCATTGCCCTCAAAAAGAAATGATTTTTCTTTTTAGATTTCGCCTTCTTTTCATTGTTGGGGTCAGCTTCATTTGGAATGGCTTCTGTCTTTGTTTTGTGTTTTGTGAACCGAGCAATTATGTGGTGACTTTATGTTCACCACCTGGATGGTTGTGGCTTGTTGGCAACCACTGGTGGTGCTTCCTCTTGGTCTGATTGGTGGCTTTTGTTCAGATTGTGAGATTATGATTGGCCATTTGACACTGTGTGGTATGTTGCTTGTTTCCTCATTTGGATGGTCATTGTCTAGGTTCTTGGTGGTTGCAGATAGCTTCTTGCCAATGACTAAGCCCGGTTGGCTTTTGCCATCTTCTCTTTTGCTGTATCTTCTTTGATGTTTGTTGAATCGTAATTTTGACTTAGTTCTTTGTTGAAATAAAATTTCTTTTTGTTAATAAAAAAAAAAAAACCTCAAATCAAAGCCCTCCTACCCCCACCCGAATATAGCCCTAATATCTCTCCATTCCAAGAATCTATTAACTCCTAATTTCCCAACAAAGTGTACTTAATTAATGAAAGGGTTGGAGGGGCAAAAAGGTACACAGGTAGGTTTGTTGCACTTAAAAGCTTTATAGCATTTATTCATTACCCTAAGCCCCTCTCCTCCCCCACCCAAATGAACCCAAATCTCTCTTCATTAAACTACCTAACTTTCTAATTCTCAACAAAGAGAACTTAATAGGAGGTTGTTGGGTGTGTTAGCTATTTGCTCTATCAATTTACAGCTTTTATATATTTGCTCTATAAATTTGCTTTAATTAAGTGTAATTAATAATATGTGGGATGCTAATTATTTAAATAAAATCTTTTTTTTGTTAATAATAAGAGAGATTTATATACATATCATATACAATTCATTTATATTTATATATCTAACACATAAACTTTGACATTATCTTATATGACATTCAAAATTTTAATTTACATAAAAAATATCACTAGTATAAACTTTTTAAATAAAAAAATATAGATTTTCATGCAGACACTTTAATGTGATTGAGATGCTAAAATATTATGCAAATAAATATTAATCAAAATTTATATATTATATATGTAAATATAAAAGAATTATGTGGCACTTATGTAAATCCATGATTATAAATGTATTCATAATTTTTTTTTCATCAAAATTAATAAAATCATTTAACATTATTTATATTTCCTTATAAATAATAAAATTATAATTTTCTATCCATATAATATTTATAAAATATTTTAATATTAAATTTTGATAAGCAAGAAATTAGATTTCAATTTAATTTATACATCTAATTATTTACTTAGTAATTTCATCTTTTATTTCTAATGATATAAATAACTTTTGAAGTTCATAGGATTCAAGAGAATTGATATAATTATATATAAGAAGCTATCAAAAATGATTTTGCTCTTAAAAATAAAAGATGATTATGTTTAAATTTATTTATTTATATGTCAAATTTTAAATATTTTATAATGGTTTTCCAATTATCTAAACAAAAGAACATAAATAAACTTCATATGAATAATCAAATATGGATTTAATGATATACTACATAAATCTTTAATGTTAATGGTACTCTGTCACTGTATATAAATATTCTTAATTACTATGTCATTCATTAATTAGCTTTCATTACTTAATTTTCACTTAGTTAGCTTAAAAAAACTCTAATCCAAGCAATTAATATATGCATGAGGTGCTTAATTAAGAAAGCATATAAAAAAACTATTATTTGGTCAAACTTTTGAGCATTAAGTCTAAGTTGACCTGCACAAACTTAACCTATCTTTATATATTGAACAGAAGACTTGGGTTTGGTTCTTAAAGATTCTCCCATGTTCTAAGTCAGGTATTTGAACAATTGCTTTTATGAACTGATAATTTACTCAAAAAATTAAAAAAAAATTACATTAAGTAATTTAATGAAAAAGAAAACATTGATATAATTAGGAGGATTTTGAATTTGGAATATCTGTAATTAAATTATATAGATTTTGGTTTCGTC